AAAAGGAGACATGAAGGAGTTACCTAATCCGACCGAGTATAGTGAAGAGCGTATGGTAATATTTGACAACTTGATGCTGCCAATCTCCGATAGAGGTGAGAAAGAATCGACTAAGGAAAGTAGGGTTGAAGACGAGCTAACAAGTCACAGGCAAGTCAACAAACAATGGATAAGAATAGAAGATCAGTCAAATGTTAACCCAGAAGCCCATAGATCAACGAAAGTACGAGTACCAAGCCCAAAGCACACGAGGAAAATATTTACAGGCTCATACTTATGTGAAGATGCATTTCTCGACGTAAGGTGGCCGAGAAACAACAAACTAACAAAAGTCGGTGTTGAGGGAGAGTGTTAAAATATCAACACCTCTTTTTGGGAAGCTTCTAGGTGGATCAAGAAAAATGAGTTACATAGATATTTTAGGAACTTAAATATTAAATTAATTAAATAACATTAAAAGTGTTGTAATTCTAGAATTGTGGAGAATTCTTATGTCGGTTACTAAACCGACTTAGTCCTCTATAAATATGTCCTTGTGTGTAGATTTTGTGAGAGTGTCCAATGAGTGAATTGTGAGTGTGAGTGCGGGAATTGTGAGGGTGTGTGTGAGTGATAAAAAAATTGAGTGGAGAGTTCTTATTGAGGCTAATTAATTGTGAGTGATAAGAATCAATTTTGAGAGTTTCAGTAAAGTGAGGTGAGTGCTTGTGAGATTGTGAGAGTAGCATTTGTAATAAATTATCTTTGTATAATAAAATCATTTTGTTGTGTTAATCTTGAGTGTATTGGCCCATTTGATTTTCAACATGTTGTCAAAGCTAAAAAGAAAGGAAAAAAAATAGAAAAAAAGGCCTTCTATAAGGTTTTTTTTCTCTTAAAAGGTTAGTTAGGTGCGAAAAATTTTTGTCTTTGAAATATTATTTTATTAATATCATGATTTGTAAGGATAATTGACAATTAGACTCGATAACACGTTAGGTCTATCTTAGACTTATAAAGAAGTTTGACGATCGAACTAATATCGCATTTTGGATGATTTCAAATGTAATGATTAGCATTATACTGTTAAGAGTTGGAAAAATTAAAGTTTTTGACCCAGTCTTTCACGTTTTTTAGTGAACAATTACTAATATTAATGCAAGTGCATTAGTTAATTATTTTATTTTAACTTTCTTAAAATATAAATATGAAAGTTTGAACTTTAATTATTTAAGTATTTCTTAAAAATTATATTATTGATTCCATTTAAAATTTACATACTTCACCTACAAAACTCTTTCATAAAGCGGAAACAATTAATTTCATTTTATATAAAGAATACGGATGTAAAATCTAAACGATGATTAATTTAATATATTAAATATGAAAAATGATAGTGATCAAAAGAGTTATTAAATTTTAAAATATATATAAAATTTTTATTAAGTAAGTGTTTTATAGTTTTAAAAATACCGGTAAACATGGATAAAAGTTCAGATATGTATAGATCATGTAGCATTGGAAGTTGACACTCAAAATTCATAAAACTCTGCATTTCTATAAGAAAAATGTATTTTCCGAATTAAATCCTATTTAGCAAATTTGAACTATATTAGCTATTGATATATGAACTATGTTAGCTAACGAGATAACATAAATGACTTCTTGAAGATCAATTTCTAGAGATGGCGAAATATCGACTTGATGTGATATCTCACTATGTATTCGTTATTTAGTGGTTAAATTTTCCAAGCTTTATGACATATTCAAATATGTGTGGATGAGAAANCAAACTTAATTTCCCTATCATTTTTTTTTTCACGTTTGGCGCTACAATCTTTTCGGAGACACGATTCTCAAAATCGGATAAGTCATTTAGCCGATCTAACAATTAGACAAACATACTCTTTCTATAAATACAAATAATTTTTAAAAAATGTTGTACTTTAAAAGATAATATTAATAAATATACGTATTTTTGTTTGATCAGTATGTTAAGTCGATCCAACTAACACACAATATTTTGTACTAATTATAAAAGTTCATTACATTCGATATTTAATTTCTTAAATCTTGATCATTTTTCGTCTCATGTGGTTTTGAGAATCGGACCAAGAACCGGTCTTCCGCTCAGTTGCGAAAGTATCGGACTTTGACGGGTCGATCGGTTAAAAATCAGCTAGTCAGACCGGTTCTATTTTTATTTTTTTACATAATTGATTTTGATATAAATAAATGCATATTTAAATGTTGTGAATATGTATAAATGACTATGAATTAGCTAAGACACTTGAATGTTTCAAATTATCAAAAAAAATTAATAGAAGTTGTTTATACATATAATTTAACACTAAAAATATTATATAACTTCAAGAATATTAATAAATTTAATACTGGTCCAATCGAGTTCAATAATACAGGCCTTAAAAATAAGAATACTTCGGGAAAAAAAAAGGAGATTCTCCCTTTTTCAGAAATTGAAGAAAAACATGAAAAATGGTGTAGGCACTTTACAGTAAGAGCACCTGGTTTGATCAGTGAAACATTAAATAAGAGCATCTCCAATGTTCAATGTTGTAGTGACAAATTACATTTCACATCAACACATTTATTAATATCACAACTTTTCATCCTTCAATGTACAATGTGATCACAAATATTGTGGTGATGTGGAAATAATTAATGTCTACAATTTCGAGAAGAATGTGATTCATTCACATTCTCCTCCACACTCTAGTTAGCCAATGAAGAGAAAAGAGAGAATTACTATTACCATTTTTAAACTATTTAATTATTTGATTAATTTTATTAATTTCATATTAAAATTTTAATATTTGGTAAGTAGATAATATTGTAATTTGACTACATTGTGCATTGAATGCGATTTTTTAATTTAATAGTTGTGAACTCAACATTTGTTCTACATGGTTCACAATCTATTTAATTTTTTGACATTTGTCAAAATTTATCCTATTACAATATTAGAGCATTGGAGATGCTCTAAGAGCATCTCCAATGCTCAAATGTAGTTGTAGTAAATTACACTCTACATTAACTAATTTAGTTATTTTTCCACTTTTAACCTTCCAATGCACAATGTTATCACAAATGTAGTGATGAGGTGAAAATAATTAATGTATACAATGTAGAGAAGAATGTGGTTCATCCACATTCTCTTTCACACTATGATCAACTAATGAAGAGAAGAGAGATAAATATTATTACCATTTTCAAAATATCTAATTATTTAATTTATTTTCTTTCTTATTTATAGTTAAATGGACAATATTATGTTTGATTACATTGTGCATTGGAGATAATTTTTTAGATTTAAAGTTGTGAACTTAAGTTTTTTCTTATGTGATTTACAATAAGAGCATCTTCAATGCTCTAATGTTGTCATAGAATAAATTTTGACAAATGTCAAAATATTGAATAGATTGTGAACCATGTAGGAAAAATGTTGAGTTCACAACTATTAAATTAAAAAATAATCTCCAATGCACAATGTAGTCTAATTACAATATTATCTACTTACCAAATGTTAAAATTTAATATGGATAAATAAAATTAATTAAATAATCAAATAATTTGAAAATGGTAATAATAATTCTCTCTCTTCTCTTCATTGGCTATGTAGAGTGTGGAGGAGAATGTGGATGAACATTGAGCATTGGAGATGCTCATTTAGTGACATTTGTTAAAATTTATGTAATAACAACGTTCATGTATTGGAAATGCTCTTTTTAACACTTAACAGAAGGCCCACCGATTTATCTCTACATGCACATGCAAACAGATTCCTTTTTTTTTCTCTTCTTTTTCCATGAACAGCGTGATAAAAATAAATAATTAATTTGTAGAGATAACATTTTTTATTCTCAAATTCGATCCTATCTAATTATTAACAAATATTTAAGAAGAAAATAGGATGAATTTTTTTAATGTACTCCAATGAAAAAAAATAAAGTACAAGTTGAAATATTTTAATTAGCAAAGTAGGAGACAGACACTATTAGTATATGAACTCATATAAGTCAACGGGCAAACTTTGGTTTATCATGAGCTAATTCAAGTTATTGACTAATTATGAGTTAATATAAGGTTTAATTGCTCCTCATATCACGTCAACATACTGCCAAATTAGAATGAATGCCTGCATACTTTATTTAGAGGAACAAATGACCCCATTAGCAAATAACAAATTTGTGTTTTAGCTCAAAAATTTCAATGGATAATTAAATACTAATTTGAGGTTAGGCTTAAAAAACACTAGCTAATTTTAATAATCTAACAAAAATTGCATGCTAAGACAAGAAAATGTAATTTCACAATTATATCTCAATTTTTTATCAGTAAAGTTTGGTTAGTCAGGCTAATGGTCATATATTTATACTTTTTCAACATATACTTAAAAATTCAAATTAAAATGACACATTCTAAAATAAATAATATAGACAAAAGTATAACATTTCAAAACATAAATATATGTATTTTATTAAAAAGATACGACAAATCAATCCACCTCAGTAGCATACCAAAAATTGTAATTTTCTATACATGACAAACACCACCAAATTGCCATCTTGCATTTTACAACAATACATTTATTTATCTAACTATAACCAAGAATTACTAATAATAATATTCAAAAAATTGAGTTTCTAATTTCAATCATTTATAGAACTAGCATATTCCAATTCACATGGGTGGATTGTTGAATTTGTCAAAAGTGTGAAGCCATGAGAGATGATAACTAGAGGAAAAAGGAAGCTTATCAATTGAGACCATTTCTTTCTAACCTATGCTCTCTTTTCTTCTCTCTTTTTTTTTTCCATTATATTTTTTCTTTCATGCATAATTGCATATAGATTGGGTAGCAACTCTTAGCAATGATGTGTCATCATTACAAATCTTGAAATTTAACTCTTCCACACACACACCCCAATCACATGGGTGCATATTTAACACACACCATTTGGCAAACAATTTATTCAACATTTGAACTTACCCTTTTAGTTCTAGCATAGAATCTCTCTATCCCTACCCCTTTCTTCCACAAAATTTCCTCAAGAGTTTTTCTCATTCATCATTCAAAAAGACACAAAGCATTTATAACACAAGCAGAAAACAAAAGTTTAAGATACATATATCAAACATGTGTCTAGGTTCAAACACAGAGTGGACACAATGCCAACTACTTCATTCCATTCCCAGAAAACCGAAGCGCACTAGGGTTCGTGTTCTTCGTCTGTCAAGGTACGATTACATAAATTTACTCATATTCCCGCGAAAAATTCATAATTTACTCATGGTTCGCTCGTTTTTTTACCTTGGCTTGTTATTTATGTACTAAAAGTGTGTTTTACTTGATCATATCAGCAGAAGGGCCAGGCGGGAAGAAAATTTCGACACAGTTATGGAGCTCAAGAACTTGAAGCTGTACATGGAGAACATAAGCATCATAGAAGAAAACGAAAGATTGAGGAGGCAAGCGAGTCTCCTCCAACAAGAGAATCTTGCTTTGATGTCTGAGTTTCAAAGAAGAATTTCCAAGAATAACTCTAACTATATTAGATAGATGTGTGATCACGGTTTGAAATTGTCTCTCTTGATGTAATGTAATAATATCCCTGATATGTTTTTGTATCAACTGCAATTAATACTAATGGAAAATTGCTCATCTTTCATCCAAACAAATTATTATACAAATTTTACATACCCCTATTTAAAAATTTGAATAAATAAGAGACACCACTTGAACTACTCACTCTAGAGTAAAATTAAGCTACTTAATATCTTCATAGCAGATTTTAACATTGCCAAAAGTAAGAAACTAGTCAAATATCTAAAAACATCTCATATCTTTTAATGAAATATGATAAATATTCTTATGCTAATAAAACTAATTATCAAAATATTTTAGAGATGTTTTACCCTTTTGTATGCAATTAATTATCAAAATATTTTGAGGACAGTAAATGTAGAGATTTAAAACTTTTATTCTACAATCCAAGTTCCTCCTGTTTTCTTGTCCCATCTTATAATCTAATTTAGTAATTTTATAGGAAAACTTTATCAGTTTTTTAAGTAATTATTTATTAAAATATTTTGAGACTTATCTAGTTAAATTAGAGACAAGAACATGCTTATTAAACGAAAATAGATTAAAATATTAAATCCTGGTGACTGCTTGCTGACTAAGGGTGAAATAGACCCTAATAACGATAACCTGTGCAAATACACTTTCAAGAGCAGCTTAATTTGTCTTCTATTAAAATCTTAATTAATGTTTATTTGAATATTTGCCATATAATTAAACTAATCATATATGGGTGGCAACAGTTTTGTTTCTACAAAATATTTAATAAATTAGTACATAAAAAAAAAAATTAAGGTGTGTACACTAAATTGTTTGCTCTAACCATGGTCAAATGAAGAATTTTCTATGTTAATTGAGACACGTAAATCAACAAAAAGTTGATCAACTTTTCCAAAAAGTCCAAGAATGTTTGGCTCAAGGCTCGTTCTTGTCCGTGTGCACCCACGTGAGTGCATGAAAAATGATGTTCCCATCTATATTTGTTTAATAAAAATTGTATATAAATTAAATGAATATTAATAATAGAGACATGGAAATAGAGTAGTAAAATGCATATTTAGGTAGAGATATAAGCGGACGGAACCTAGTTCGGGCCTTTATCGAACCAAATTACGATCTCGATAAATGAGAGCCGAGCAGTTCATTTCATTTAACATATCTAGATATAGATATAGGACAAAATTAAAAAATCCTTTAGCTGAATTAAAATTGAGTTTTGAAATTATTATCTCTTATATTTTATACTGAAATATCATTATTTTTTAAAAATAAAATATGTTTTGCATTGTATTACATGAATATGACAATTCACTTTGAGGATTTAAAACTTCTTTGTAAGAAAAAAACAATATTCGCTCGTTTTACTTTCCAAAATTTTTAATGAATACAGTTGTTGAAAAAGAAATCAACGACTCGTTCAAAATGTACTTTGCTAAAATAAAAATGTACTTTGTTAAAATAAAAACAAGTATCAACTCATTGGACTGACCTCGTCAAAACTTAAAAGGTATTGATAAAAGTCAAATCTTTGCACTGGGTTTCATTATTAATGATACTAATCACGTATTAATATACTTGCTGCAACTCAAGCATTGTAATATAGTGCAGTAAATGAATTTTCATGTGATCAATCAAATTGGTGTGGTGAAAAAGCAATAAATATCTTCTCTAAGCAGATTTTCCCGAGACTAAAAGACAATTTATTATACTTCATAATTCTATATATCCAATTAAATGTGTAAATTTATATATGACTTTATAAATAAAAATTAAATTATCAGATCAACTTTAATTGAAAAATAATTAAATTATTATTTATTAATTAAATAAGATTCATCTATCAAAATATGATATCAGTTAAAAAATTATTATTATTATTATTACTAGTTTTACCCCGTGCATTTTCACGAAAAACGATATAATATAGAAGAAAAAGTAATTAAAAATATAGAATTAAATAAAAATCATAACTTAATAAATGAGAACAAAAAATTTAAAAAGTGAATCTAAATATTATTAAACAGTTCTTTATATACAACATTCGTGGTTTTTTCTATCGTCAGAATTCCCATCACAACAAATCATGATCGTTAAACCCCTTCGACTCGTGACTCTAGTATTTGATTTTTCAAAATATCTGATGTATCTTTGTAATATCAAAAAAAAATATTTTTTTATTATTGCATGACTACAATAGAAAATAGAGATATTTGTAGTCATTAATTGTGAAATATGTATTTATAAAATACCAAAAATATATAGTATCAAAATAAAAATAAAAATATTTTGTATTTGAGGACATAAAAAGGCATTATAGAAATGGGCACAATTCAAAATGGGACCTGTCAAAATAAATTGTGTAATTGAAATTACATATTCTTATTAAGTGGTGAACATATCTCTCTCTCTCTCTCTCTCTCTCTCTCTCTCTCTCTCTATATATATATATATATAGGATGTAGTTCAAATGAGAATCAAGTCCTAGCGTGAGAACTGTGAGAACCGCTATTTTTAATTGTATGTAGTGCTATGATTGATTGTATTTAGTGCTATTTTTAATCAGGATGTATTTTATTAAAAATAGCAACTTAGCATTTGTAAAAATGATAGCATCATGTAAGATTAAAAATAGCATCATACACAATTAAAAATAGCATCAAATATGGTTCTCACGGTTCTCACACCAGAAAAGGTTTTTATTTGAACCACTCCCTATATATATATATATATATATATATATAAAGAGGAGCAACAAAGCATTAAATTTTATTCTCACGCATTAAATTTTATTCTCCCTCCAAAATTTTCAGCATTCAATTTCATTTTTAAGTTACAAATAACTTGCTTGAATGCCATAAATTATTAGCATAAACCAATCAAGGGAGTTACAAAATTGTATCAAATTTTAAGTCACACCCACTCATGAAAATTGTTGGGTGTATTAGTATAAAGAAAATGGTTGTAACGGCTTTTCTATAGCAATTACTTGATCAAAATCAATTTTGAGAATTATTTTCTTCATTCATAATTTTTTTTCATGAATTAAATTATGATTTTTTTTTATCTTTTTAAAGTATTCGTCTCTGTGCAAATGCACAAGTTGATTACTAGTTTTTATTAAATGAACACCTATTTTTATTAATTGAACTCATATTATTATTAATTGCTGGCTGAATAAAATTTATTGAACCTTGCTAGTAATTATATATATATATATATATTATTGTTGTTGTTGTTGTTGTTGTTGTTGTTGTTGTTGTTGTTGTTTGAGTCACACACCCACTCATGAAAATTGTTGGGTGTATTAGTATAAAGAAAATAGTTGTAACGGCTTTTCTATAGCAATTACTTGATCAAAATCAATTTTGAGAATTATTTTCTTCATTCATATTTTTTTTTATGAATTAAATTATGATTTTTTTTTATATTTTTATCTTTTTAAAGTATCCGTCTCTGTGCAAATGCACAAGTTGATTACTAGTTTTTATTAAATGAACACCTATTTTTATTAATTGAACTCATATTATTAATAATTGCTGGCTGAATAAAATTTATTGAACCTTGCTAGTAATTATATATATATATATATNGTGATAAGTACCATTTTCAATAAAATAAAAAATGCAATTTTATAAGACGTATTCAAAAAAATAAAATATTAACTTCTATTTTTTTCATTATTTTTAAGTATATAATTTCACCAGGTGTAGATGTTGTACTACTACTTAAATATATATAAATGTCCCAAGTTTTTCAAGCCTAGTATTAGCTTTGGTGCTTCGTAATCCTACATATATGGTGTTTTGCAACCGTCAATTGTAGGTCTGGATTTTATCTTACGACTATTAGGTCTTTTTATATATAAGACACCGGTACAATACCCGTGTATTACACGGGTATTTAGAAAAAGAATATATATAATAAAAATTGAATATATAAAAGTATTTATTTAATTACTGTGAAATTGCATGTACAATAGATAATGAATACTTAATAGAGTAATAACTATTTAAAATGACGCATGTTTTTTACCCTCAAATTGTGAAAAATGATAATTATTTAATTATATTTTTCTATATAATAATATTGGATCATTTATAAATTAATGGTCATCAATCTAAAATTCGTATGACTATGAATTTTCGACCAATAACTATATTATTTTAAATTTTATGTTACCTTAGATTTTTGTTTTTATTTTCAACACTATAATGACATCCAATCCTTTGTATACTTTGTTTAGGTGAAGACATAAGTTTTAGAATTTTACTCATATTCATTCTATAGGTATACCTTAACATCTGCATTTTTTTTTTCTTAAGACTAAACGAAAAATATTTTAGGGTATATTTATCTACATATTTTTTTATTTATGAAGATAATATATAGTTACATTTTCATGTCTCCATTTTTAATTTGGTTTGATAAAAAAAAATTAATTTTTATTTATAAAGATAGTTGAAATTAATTTTAAATTTGTATATGTGATATGGACGTCAAATCAAAGATCGTCAAAAAATGATTAATTTGATAAAATCATATATGTAAAATTGAAATATGTATAAAAAAGTTATTAATTTTTACAATATACTAAAAACAAATTATGGTATTTAATAAATTAAATAAATGAGACAGTTTCGTATGGTAAGATTTGATTTGAGAAAAAATAATAAGGAACAAATATAAATGCATAATTACCAAAATTGTAAATAAACTATTTATGTCAAGTACCAAACCTGATTCTAAAGCAAAATTACTTATACAAACCAAACTATGAAGCACAGAATTTTGTCATGTCAGCATGCGAGCCTAACACGTAGGCTTAACACATTCTGAATTAATATATAGGAAATAAACTATTTATGTCAAGTACCAAACCTGATTCCAAAGCAAAAATACTTATACAAACCAAACTACGAAGCACAGAATTTTGCCATGTCAGCATTCGAAGCATGCGAGCCTGCCACGTAGGCTTAACACATTATGAATTAATATATAAGGGGAGATTTGAACTAAAATTTATTTTAAATCTTAGTAGCTTTTGTATTTGTTATAAGTTTTCTGACACATCAATTAATATGTTCTAACCATTTTTTATTTAACATTTATATTACATATATACAGTAAAATAATAATTATACCATAAAAAATTATCCATGCATGTTTATATAATCATGACTAAAAATCACAGACATGAGAAATGAATAATGAATACTAAAAATCATATATATTTATGAATTTCAAAAAGAATGGTATATTATTCATGGTTACACACAAGAACTTATCATTCTTATCTCCACCCCGCATGATGTTTTTCTCCTCATATACAAACACATATTTTTTCAATTTTTTCTTTATCATTTCCATTAATAATTCTAAGCATTTAGTCAAACCCCATCATTATAATTAGCGAGATTAGNAAAGTGTAGAGTTGTGAAGCAGTAGAGAAAAACAACATCAACAAACCACATTTGTCAACTTAAGAATCACAAAAACTGCAACTTTTGTCCTGTGGGAATAATTCACACTGTTGACTAATTATATGCCAGCCGAGACGAACAAGCACACTAATATCAGCACAAGCACATGGCTGCTCAAGCTAAGTCATGATTGCAAAGAACACAAAAGAGTCCTAAAGTGTCCATAAAATAAAATATCACGTCCTAGTGACTAGCTTTTCTAGCGTCCGAAAACTACATTGTAACGTATAAGGAACCCCTTAAGTCAAAGCCACTCGATTAACTAATCACACGAAGCATGAGTGAGTTCGCAAATCGACTTACCCAAATCAAGAAACCACTAGGATTGTTGTGTTGGGATTAATTTGAATCAAGGGACGAATAATGCAGTTTTCTGATTTCCTCTGGATTGGCTAACTAAAGAAGAATTGAAAAAAAAAAAAAAAAAAAAACGAGGCTGAGAAAAGTAATTACCTTCGAGGCGTAGAGGCAATGTGGGATTCCGGCAGTTCGGAACAGAACGCAAATTTCACGAGTTTTTCGAACTTTCTTGAGATGATGTGTAGATACGGTAAGCAGCGATGCACATTGTAGCATTTCCAATTACGGTCAAAGCTGCTTGAAGAGCTACCAAAACCTACACAATGTAGGGTAAATGATTAAAAAAAAGTTTATGCATGTCGGCAACTAGGAAAAAGATTCCTACGATGATGATAAAGTATTGGAGATTCGAATGAAAGCTGGGATCGAAATATAATATTGGTTCAACTTTAGGAGAAAAGTAACATATGATAAACATAGTTTTTGACTTGAGCAACACAAAATGTAGAACATGAATGCTGTGGGATTCCCAAAGAGATAACCCTATTAATAATTCTACATTGTAGCTGGAATTGCCTTGTCAACAGATGAAGCACGGGATTCATGACATTTGATGAATAAACATTAGCCAAATTGCTCCAAAAATCATGACATTTTTGGAAAAAACTGTGAATCGTGCTCAACTTTGTTCATGGAAAAAGAGTGATGACTTCCATCCTTCTTTTTTTTTTTTGTTTGAAAATGAAGCACTGAGTTGGCTTCGATCACTGGAATAAGACGTGGCAGACGGGTTACTTATATTTTTAGTTATTTACAAAAAGACCCAAGAATATATAGATTTCACATTAACCCGGAAAACAGAAGTTGCATTTATTTATTTATTCATTCATTCATTGCCAAATAAAAGTGCTAGGATTAGAAAATTTCCAAAACTCGTGATTTTTGGAGCAATTTGGCATAAACATTTTCTAGGCGGTATGACTTACCTGTGATCTGTTTTGATCCAAAATCATGTAAATATGCCTCTTCACACACACGGGATAAAGTAATGCAGTAAACTACTATATTCTTGGATGATCCTAGAAAAGAGAAATATTGCCCGTGCTAAATCATAATGCACCGTTCACTAAGTTCTCACTATGTAAAGTAACAGCTATTGTCACTCTGTTTCGTAAGCAAAAAACATTTATCCCATCATCTACTTTCATAACTCCTATCACTAAAGATAAACAGAACTGCTGTTTTCAATCAACAAAGAAGCTTGTGAAGTTTAGTACACAATAGATACAGGTGAAGATAATTTGCTGAAGGACTTCATCTGCTGATCCTGATTGGGAAGTTCTTTAAACAATTCCAGCGAATTACAGTCGAGGCTATTCTTGAACACGTTAACAAATGCAATTGTCTCTGAACATGTCTCGTTAAAACAAGTAGTTTATGATATAAAAGTAATATAAGTTCTTAAGTGAGACTGTGAGACCCACAAGTTACTTTCCATCTATCCCAACTTATATAACTTCATGAATGTCTAATACATAATATAATGCAAATTTAGCGTCAGAAGTGCTTTTGTCTAAACCAAGCTAGACTAAACTTGAAGCTGACTGAGACTTCAGAATAGAACATTCTAATCACAGATTATATCTATGAGTAGAATGTCTCGAACAAGAAAAAGAAACACTCGGATATGTCAATGTGCAGTTCATCTTGGAAAGATAAACCAAATACTACCTCCACATAGTTGAGCTAGATCAAACTCATTTTGCACTGAGTTGTAGGATAGGTGGGAAGTTGAGTGCTCTATATAATTGTTAACTAGTTCATTTTTATGCACTTATTCATGATGCATTTCTGTATTTCCTACTTATTTATGTGGGTGAATTTACTCTAATTTATATATGTGGTCATTTCTGAGTTAATTTGGTGCAAAGAGAGTTATAGGACTGTTGAGGCCCCATTGGAAATAGTTTTATGATTATAAACTGAAACAAACCGATATTGGGCTTTCCAATACCAGCCTACATTTTGGGTCATGTATTTAAGTCAGGCCCAAATAAGTAGATAGGTTAAGGATAGGAAATTGAAGCATGATGTCGTTAGAAAAGGAAAATGACCATAATGGGAACTAAATATTGATGAGATGAAAGCAAGAAGTAAATTACATCGTGCAGCAGCCTCCGTTTGAGAGCAATGCATTAATGTATCTACATTAAAAGCATTTAATTGTATTCCACATGTGATACGTGAGAAATCTTGTGTTATTTTGTGATTTAATTTAAATATTTGAGTATTGGATTTTAGTGTATTTTACAAGTTTTCTCACGTATTTTATTTTGTGATCGGACATACACCAATATTTGGATTTTGTGTTTATTTTGCAGCTTAGGCCCTATTTAATATTAAGCCTATTGATGAGGTGGCAGCTGTGTAGGCAATGACATGGACTTAATTTTAATATGGCCAAGGATTTAAAAAGAGAAGAAGAATAGACAATGAGGACTCTTTTATGGTTGTGACCGAAAGAGTTTGAAGGAATTGGGAATGAATTTCCTTGGCCTGGACTTGCGTGGCATATGGGGGAGGAATTCCAATTGGGAGGAACTCTAATTTTGCTTGGCTGAGGGGTTGAGAAACTAAAAGGGGACTAGGAGTAAATAAAAAAAGAGGGGGATGTTGGAGCTTGGAGTGCTTACGGGGTGAAAAGGACGAATTATTTGCTGCTCAATTTAATTGGAGTCGTGGACTACTTTGATAAAAAAGGAGTTTGATTTTATTTTTTTGCTTTGTTTTATTTTGTTCTAAGACCATGAATATTTATTATTGTTTTTATTATTTAGCTATGTGTAGCTAAATAATTATTTCGGTTCTAGGGACGTTGAACCCTCGATGACTATGTTTGATTAATGCTATTTATTTCGTTTTACTCGTCGTATAAAATTGTTTGTGTTATTCTAGTTTCATGTCATAATGTGTGATTTTTAATTTAGCTTGATCACCTAAGTTAGGAATTGCATGTTAATTGCTAGATTTGAGGCTTCGATCCGTAATTGTCGTCGCTCTTATTTCGTTTGTAGCAACTAACAGTCGTGCATTGTTAGGGATAGCACAACATAAGTTACATGAACCGAGCTTATGTGTTTGTGGCTTAGATCGGTCTATTTTCCTAGATTTTAATGCGGCTGGCGGGTTAAATTAGGAGAGCTTATTCCGAGTTATTCGCTAGTTAGAATTAATTGGAGAGCCTATTTCGATTAAGTATAAATTAAGGGAAAATTCGGGTAGCAGAGCTTATTGCTATCTAGGACCGGTAGTTTTAGAAAACGAGTGAGATTTGATAAAAGCATTAATTGGGCTAGTTATTCGAGGGTGTAGACCGACCTGGAACCGATTCCATTCTCATCTTTGCTAGATTATTTTTATTTATTTTCCATTTCATCATCATTTGCATTTTAGTCATTTATTTCTAGTTTCTAGTTTAATTTCTCTTTTTGTTAGTAGTTTCATAATAAATCAAATCCCCCCCATTTTTATTATAATCTAATTAATATAATAAATTCACTGTTTATACCTACACTCCCTGTGGGATCGACCCTTGCTCGCCACTACTACTAGTTAGTAGGGGTAAGTTAGGAAAAATTATAAATTTAAATTTGCCGTGTTGCGACGCGCGGTCAACATGTTTACTTTTGTTATTATATTTTATTTGTTCTTTTACTTTTATGTTGTTGGCATTTTCATTGTGTTTATCGTTCAATTTACAAGATAATCAAGCATTAATTTCTACTTCCCATGATAACTAGCGACCCATAATTCACGGCTCCACGTATTCAATAAAATTTAATTTCTGCAGAGCTATCGTTAATAAACAGAAGCCTTCCTTCTAACTTTCAGTGTCAGGCATGTGAAATTTCAAGTGGTTCTACCCTTCATCTGTAATCCATTGCCAAATCATAAGGCTAACCTTACCCAATCATATACTAAACTAGAGGCTAAGAAGGAAGAAAAGCAAAGCACTCATACTCCACACCAGGAACAGATAGTGCACATCTGGAAAAACACAACTAGGCAATTTCATCAACTCGTTATTCAATGGTGGGAAGGTTTCAGACAGATCATAATGGGTATTCAAGTCAAAAGAATTAAGCAGGATATATAATTTGACTGCGCATTTGAGAAAATGAGGTTAAATTTGAGAAACCATTACAACCAGTTCAACATCCGCAAATTAATGAAAATTTGTGCTTCCGGACAATCCCATGGAATCATTGAGAAAGATTATTATTATCAATATTGGTTATGCAGGCTACCAAAGGTCCCATATCACATCATACATAAACCAACAATTAATGCTTTTGTGTTTTAATGAATCCTATGCAATTATCGTATTGAAAGATGCAATCTATATAATCTAATATTGTTTTGGTGATGAAGTGGTGCTAGTTGACTAGAGTAGGGCAAGGGTAAATAGGAACTTAGAGCTGTGGAAGGACACGTTAGAGTCGAAAGGCTTCAGACTTAGTAGGACGAAGACCGAGTACGTGACATGCGCTTTCAACATGGCTACACATGATGATGGTGACGTTAGCCTTGACGGGAAAGTGGTGGCCAAGAAGGACTTTCCGGTTTTCCGTATTTAGGATCGATGCTACAAAATGATGGCGGCATTGATGTTGATGTTAGGCATAGGATTGCAGCCGATTGGTTGAAATGGCGCCAAGCTTCGGGCGTTCTCTGTGATAAGAGGGTGCCACAAAGGCTAAAAGGTAAGTTCTATAGGACGACGATTCGCCCGGCAATGCTATACGGTGCTGAATGTTGGCCTACAAAAAGGCAACATGTCCAACAACTAAGTGTAGTAGAGATGCGTATGTTGCGTTGGTTCTGCGGGCACACAAGAAGGGATAGAATCCGGAATGAGGATATTCGAGATAGGGTTGGGGTGGCTCCAATTGAGGAGAAATTGGTTCAACATCGGCTGAGGTGGTTCGGACATGTCCAACGGAGGCCTCCTGATGCACCGGTGCGTAGGGGAGTTCTATAGCGGGTCGATGATGTAAAGAGAGGTAGAGGTCGGCCTAAACTCACTTGGTAAGAGTCGGTTAAGAGAGACCTTAAAGATTGGAATATCTCCAAGGATTTAGCGGTGGATAGAAGCGCTTGGAGGCTAGCAATCAACGTGCCAGAATCGTGACTTTTGCTCTTTTCTCTTTTGCTCCAATCTCTTCCTTTTGTTTTGAGCCCTTTTTGTGTTTCTCTTACCATTGGTTCTCTTGGGTTTCATCTCTAGCGTACCCATTGGGGCTAAAAGGCTATGTTGTTGTTGTTGTTGTTTTGGTTTTCATACCCAAAAAAAATGTTGTTATCTTATATTTCACTTCAAGTTACTCTGTACAGTTTTGGAATTTCGATATTTCGATTCTGGACTATTTAAATTTTATGTGAATGTTTTGGTTTCTATATATTCTAGTAACATGTAAATTTAAATCACAGTTGAAAATGTTTCAGGCACAGCTCAAAGAGTATAGATGATTTCTTATAGAGGGGATCTCTCACTGTAAAAGAATCAGGTTTATTATCCAAGATCATAAGTCAAACTTAAATAAGACAATAAGAAAGTTGTAAAAAATAATTATAATTGAATAGGACTGAACAGATTCAGTTTAGAATTAAAAGCCAGAACTCATACTTGCTTTCAACAGCTCAATTTTCTAGCATGTCCCGAAGATGACCAAGTTTTTAGCAATTTCATCTTTCACAAAATGATTCAAAGGATATAAAGAGGACTTCATCTAATTCATTGAGTTTTGACTTTTGGCTACCCTTTCGCCTTTTGGAGCTTTTCTAACACGTCATATGCCAAGTGACCATTTCATCCCACTACTACTTTTGAGGCAACATTAGCTTAAAGATTAACACACTCAAGTGGACATGGAAGCAATGCTATAAAGTTCTTTGGCATCTCTTCTGTAAGCACGCCTTCGCCATTGATCATAATAAGCTCAAGGGATTTTTTTTTTTCAAAGGTTTCGTTCTTTGTGATTGCCGGATTTGTTTCTAGGTAAGCTGTGTGATCTTTTCTATGGTTTTCTTATTCATAAGCTACAATACGAGGATCAATAGAATGGATAAGTTCTCCATTTTATTAAGACAGTTCACTTGAATGACCATATGATTCAAGTTGTCAGTCATCATGTGGTTGATATCCATGTCCATATTAAATTTCAATAGTATAAATTAATTTATTTATTTTTTGGCCTGAGTGAGCTCAAAGCCGGCCAAGTAAAAACAATTCATTAACTTAAAGGCAAAACAAATACAAGGACATCAAACATATAAGCAAGAAAAATAGCTTTTTTAACGACCAGCTACAAGATTATGTACCTCAAGAGACTCCGAGTTGTAGAAGAAATGCCAAGTACAGGCACAAAGTGCTCCACCTAGCAGGGGAACCTACACAAATCTCATGTCAAGTTACAACACATGGAAAACTTTAGAAACCTTCATCTCTTTTACTACATTAAAAGTAACATGCTAATAGGCAATCTACTATTTTTTATAGGAAAGAAAATATCCGTATTAATGTTTCAGAAAGGCACTAAAGAAATTCATGCTGTCAAACTCTAATGAGTACTTCAATAAAGACATGAGACGACCATTTTCATGCATAGATGTTTGTATATCACCTTCAGAAACGAATACGCAATTGCAATTTGCAGATTTAAGGTTACTCTTCTCTGTATCTGTCTCTATCACCGCAATAACACAAATGTTTCATGCATCAAACTAAAAGAACAAATCAAACTAAAAGAACAAAACGAACAGGAGCATAATTCAGAAATTGTTTCTTCTCATGACCACTAAGCAATCTTCTACTTTTTTTAGGAAAGAAAATATTCATATTAATGTTTCGGAAAGGCACTAAAGTAATGTATACTGTCAAACTCTAGCGAGCACATCAATAAATAAAGCGAACACCATTTTGTATCTCGTATCATTGCCATGAGACGAACATTTTTTTCATGCATCGATGTATTATTATCATCAACTTCACAAATGAATACACAATTGCAGTTTGCAGATTTTAAGGTTACTTTTCTCTGTATCTGTAACACCACATTAACATAACTGTTTCACAAAACAAAGAACAAAACAAATAGGAAAATAGCATAATTCACCATTCCCCAAGAAAGACCCTTCCAAGCTTCATAACCCGACTTTTCCCCATACCGCCACACCAACGCCATTGCAGTAGCCCTTGAGATAAAGAACGATNAAGCCTAATAAGCCAATCCAAATCAAACATTAAAAACAAGAAGCTAATATCAACAAAAGGACAGGGAATCATCATCATCATCATCATCATCTACCATTCAACAACGCTGGAGACGTGAACTGCCCATGTGGGGAGAGAGAGAGCATTCGAGGGTTCGCTGAGAATTGGGTACTGCGCGGCGTGAGAGGGCCCCACAATAGAGACTAGGGCGATTCCGGCAGCTCCCACCAAAATGGCCACGTCCTCTGATCTCCGGCGAGAGCGCGTCGAATTGGGTCGTTTTGCAGCAAGCTTGCTTCTTTCGGCGGCGAATACGCGGAGTCCGGCGAAAGGGACGTCTTTATTTGGGTCGTACCGTGTGGGTTTCTCGAAGAAGACATGTTTTGGAAGGAGACTTATGGAGCCCATGACTGTGAGTCCCATTTTTGTGGAGCTGAAAGGATAGAGAGCGCGAGATGATGGAGGTGGAGGAGTTGTGGCAAATTTGAAATTAGATAAAAGTTACGGGGCGAAATTTGGTAGAATAGCAAACTTCGATGATATAAAATATGTTTTGAAAACCACGAAGCCAAGCGTAGTCTAAAAATATGTTTTTAGCCATGTATGTATTTCTGTTAAATAATTACTAGTACAGAGCCCGTGCGATGCAGTATGTGCACAATTTTAAGGTTATTTATCAAGACTTATAATTATATACATGAATACAGAAAAATGTACGGGATATATATAGTACGTGACCCGTGCGAGGCACGGGATATATTTATTTGAGGAATCTATCATTATATAAAAAGAATAACTTTTTTACAAATTTAGAAACTTTTTCCCGCCAAAATCATTAAATATATCTTGCATATAGTAATTGTTGAACAAATCTGAATAGGCAAAAAAATCGGCTCATTAATTGTGTAAAGATTTATTTTTTATTTCCTGTTTTTTAGTTTATCAAAACCGTTATTTGACAATAAATATTTATTTTTCTTTTTTCCTATTTTTAGTATAAATCTACACGAGCTTATCTCTTCTGTTACAAATCCCATTGCATACGTGTTTAAAAAATCTTATCTCTTAATCTATACAAATTTGAAAAAATAAAATAAAATAGAAACCAATTCTTAATTACTACTAGAAATCCATTATCTTTAAAAATAAAAAATAAAATAAAATAGAAAACCAATTCATAATTACTACTAGAAATCCATTATCTACTTTAAGAAGCTAATTTTCATCGGTCTAATTACTAATATTTTTACAAATATTATAAGCTAACCATACAAAAAAGTATAATAATAATTGTAACCAAATTTTTTTATATTCTCTTATACAAAATAATTTTACATTGTTTGACCCCGAATCTTTATTTATAATTATTAAGTATTGTTTATCCTCCTCTTTAATTTATAATTATTTTTTTTCTTCCTCTTTTTAAATAAGATCAATAGTAATTTCCATAGTTTTTAAACCCGGCCCGGTGATCGACCCGGGCAGGTCCTCGGGTCATCGGGTCACCGGTTCAACCGTCGGGTCACCGGGTCAATTGCTGAACCGGATAATTAATTTTAAAATTTTTAAAATTATATATAGAGCATTTATGTTATATAAATATACATAAAAGTAACAAAATTAAATGTTTTGTGTATAAAATTTGTATATTAAAGTGTTAATAATATGTATCTCATGATAAATATTTACCATATAAACATATATACATATTTTTATTTTTAAAAAACAAAAAAAATATAAAAAAATATAAAAAATATATATGGACCGGGTCAACCGGGTTGACCCGGCCGGGTCAATGCCCCGGGTCGACCGGGTTTGACCGGGTCCTTGGTTGCCCGGTCCAAATACTCCACCCGGACCGGTTCCGGCTCCGAGTCGACCGGGTCCCGGGTCGACCCGTCGGGTCGGTCCGGGTCTCAAAACAGTGGTAATTTCCACTTCCGCCATTGAGTGACTCAAACTCGAGGTCTATTTATAATATTGTTCCCGTGCATCGCACGGGGTACACACTAGTACTATATTATAAGATGCAATATTCAATAAAATTTTTATAATACGCAGGAAAATTATATAATAAGATAGTATTCGACAAACAAACAATCATATATTATTAAAAACTACCTTGTACACAACATTATGAGTTTGATTTTCCATACAATAATAATAAGATTTTTTGTAAAAAGATAAGAAGGAATTTTCAATCTACACAAACTTTAAACATTAGATGTATTTACGTAAATCAATGACTATATAGACAACTAAACCCTTCAATTTAGGCTTGACATCTATTTTATTTATGGGTGACGTAAAATAAGGAATTAATTTTGACCGATTAAATCTTTATTCATAGGCTTGACATATAAAACTGATTTGATGGGATTTTCTTAACTAAACCGATGCTATGAGATAAAACAAATCTATACTTACCTTTGACTTTTCCAGCAAAGGTAAAAAAATCAGTTCTGATTTTTATCCCATAACAAATCTTTAATGTCAAGCCTATAAATATCAAAACAAATCTGTAATTAATATCATTCTATTTCCAGCAAGAATTAATTACCTTTGACTTTTCTACCTACTATTTCTACTAAATAGGATGACTTTTTATATACATATAGATATCATATAATGCAAAGACTGAGATCATAAACAGAATCCTAAAAACTGAAACAATATATTTGCATAATTTAAGGCCATTAAGAAATCGATCTCTAAACCAGATTTGATTTTCAGAATATGTTTTTTCATTTCGAATTCCATACAAAATGGAATTCTTTCCAACCAATAGATGTCATAGCAAATATTAACTCTTAACTATTAAACTATTAGTACATACCGAGCAAATTGTGTACTGAATTTAGAAAGTTAAAATGATTCATGTTAGGTAATTTTACATTTTATGCATGTTGAACGGTGGGTTTTAAATATTGTTTCATAGAATGTAAAAGTGTATTATATTATTTTTATGAGATGTTGAATTTGAAAATTAATAGAATTCTTCTTCATAGGAATTTTAAATGTAACAATATTCTTTGGTATACACTACTAATAAAATCTATATTTAAAGTTTATATTTTTTTTTACCGGAAAAAATTCCTTAATTTAAGGAATCATATATCTTCAATCAGTCCACATCTGTATACATTCTTCACAATTTTAAATCTTGAATTTGATGAGAATTCGTATCTATGAGTGCAAAATATGGTTTAACAAATTAATTTTTTATTGTTATTCCAGTCATACTTCTTTATACGATTTTTTTGTGAAAATACAAAAGTAAATTCTTCATTTTAAACCAGCCGTACATTAAAGAGTACAAATTTGTTGAAATTACAAAAATAGTTTTTTACTTTTAAACAGACGTAAATTTAAATCGGTTATAAAAAAAGTAATATTTGTTTACCATTTAAATATTAAATCAACCGTAATTAATGTTGTTTGTTTTAGTTGCCACGATTTTCTCCAAACTAAATTAACAACTGCCATGATTTAAGGGCAACATTTAATGTTGCTCTATTTTTAGGAGACATTAAATGTATTTGGCGGGAAAAACTTACTAAAAGTGTTAAATGGTTAATCTTTTAATATAATGATAGATCTTGGTTTGACCTTCCTAGCGATTCGGTCCTAACGATTCGGTCGTCTCATAAAAGAATTTGTGATATTCTAAAGGTCTAATCAATCAGCGTCCTTGATTGCGGTCAACAGTCAACGCTACAATCATTTAAGCAAAATATCAAAAGCAAATAATGGAGTACCTAACCCTTATGGTATGATTGATATGATGGAATGAAATTTTGTAGGAATGGAATGAATTGAAGAATGGAATGATTATGGGAATGAAATGAAACATATTTTGTCATTGATGCGTTTGGTATGCAGAAGGAATATGACTGGAATGGAATGACATTATCATTTTTTATTATAAAAATAAATAAAAGCTTCTTTTAAAAAATAATATACTTTTAATAAATTATATATAAATGCTTTTTTAATAATATATAAAAATAATATAATATATTTTTAATAATATATTTTGAATAATATATACAAATAGAATAATATATTGTTTAATAATATTAAAAATAATATATTTTTAATAATATACAAAAATAAAATAATATATTGTTTAATAACACTGTTTTGAGACCCGGACCGACCCGACGGGTCGACCCGGGACCCGGTCGACTCGGAGCCGGAACTGGTCCGGGTGGAGTATTTGGACCGGGCAACCAAGGACCCGGTCAAACCCGGTCGACCCGGGGCATTGACCCGGCCGGGTCAACCCGGTCCATATATATTTTTTATATTTTTTTTATTTTTTTTGTTTTTTAAAAATAAAAATATGTATATATGTTTATATGGTAAATATTTATCATGAGATACATATTATTAACACTTTAATATACAAATTTTATACACAAAACATTTAATTTTGTTACTTTTATGTATATTTATATAACATAAATGCTCTATATATAATTTTAAAAATTTTAAAATTAATTATCCGGTTCAGCAATTGACCAGGTGACCCGACGGTTGAACCGGTGACCCGATGACCCGAGGACCTGCCCGGGTCGATCACCGGGCCGGGTTTAAAAACTATGTTTAATAATATAAAAAATAATATATTTTTAATAATATATAAAAATAAAATAATATATTTTATTTTTTAATTAAACAGTAAATAAAAGTATGTTTTCAATTTTTTTATTTGAATTTTATTTTTTAAAATAATATATTTTTAATAATATTTAAAAATAAATTAATATATTTTTAATATTTTTCAATAATATATTTTTAAAATTAATATATTTTTAATATTTAAAAAATAATATATTTTTAATAATATATATAAATAAAATAATATATTTTTAAATTATATATAAATGTTTTTTTAGTTTTATTTTTGTATAAGTATTTAATATATCTAACTAAAATATAAATAAAAGTAAGTTTTTAATTTTTTTATTTGAGTTTTTTTTTAAAATAATTTTATTTAATATAGTTTAATCATGATTTGTAATATATATTATATATTTATTTTTTATTATTATTTGTTAATTTTATGAAAAGTTGAATCCTACACACATGGGAATGAGAAAACCTTCCATTTACTATGGAATGGTTAATCCCATGGAGATCGGTTTTGCCATTCCCATTGGAATGGTCATTCTTTCCCAAAAAATATACCAATCATGGGATTAGGAATGAGTAAGAGAATGATCATTCCATTCTCATATCATTCCTTCCTACCAATCATGCCATTATAATTAGTTTGAAACAAGAGTCATCAATAGACACCATATCTATAGTAATATAAAGAGGTTGTTGGAAAAATATTTTTATAGTAAGCTTGACTAAAAAATAAATGGTTTGACTTACTATTAGTGGAAATTTCAGAAAGACACATGTAAATCTTTAAGAATTAAATTTAATTGAGATATCCTAAAAAAATTGGAGATTCTTATGGTAACAAATTTTGAGAATCTTATACTTATATTTTGTTCGTTTTAAATATTAATCTCATAGGAATCTATTTTTATTGATAACAAATTT